GGTCATGAAGGATTTAGATGTCTAAACCCTTCCTTTAAATTGATGTTTGAATTAAAAAAATCAGATCCATTCCAAAATTAAAGTATCGCTTCTTTGGTGTGGCAAGTGCATTTCTATCAGCATTCTATGAATAAGGCCTCAGCATGGAAGACATGAACATAACCTTAGATGACAGGAGGGACCAATGGAATGGCTTAACTAGGCATCTGGTAAAGTTAACAGTTTGATAACAGTTTATTATGGAGGTCTGTGACCATCTTAAGTATGAAGGATTCTAAACCTTCTGGATGACTGTATGGGAGTAAATCTTGCCTGGTCTACAAATTCTCAGGACATATGCCTATTGAGGAATTTTCAGGCCCGTTGAGAGGCATGCATTAGTCTAAGGTTTGCTTATTTCTGCCTCAGTGTTTAAATGTCAAGACATGCAGAGAATATTGTCTATTGGTAGAATGGTTCCTTGAGAAGAACAGAAATTATACAGAAATTATTCAGAATATTCTTTTCTGTAACCATTTCCTCTGAAATCTGAGCCCTCTGAGGTCTGGATAAGCCAGAGGAGCTTTTCTGTATGTTAAGCACACTAGATGTTCCATGGCCTAGTCTGTTATGTCATAGAACTACAGCTTTCTCAGCCATAATGAGATGAGAATGATTAGACCCAATCTCCCCTGAGCTTACGGAGAACCCTAGTTCATGAGCAGGAAGAGACGACAGACTTAAAGGTGATATTTTGCATATGACCACCCATGTCTGCTGCTTCTAAAACCTTATAGATGAGCAAAAAATATGGGTCTCTTGGGAACAAAGTTGTTTCTTTTTTTTTTGGTGGGGGGGGTGAAACAGCTACCTGTCCCTCTCCTTGGCTCTCCATATTTTCTTGTTGAGAAGAGAAATAGGTGAAGGCTTCACTCTACAGGATCTACTTGCTATCAGCTTAGCCAGGAAATTGAGATTACCCTTCAAATAGAGCAGTGGTTCTCAAACTTTTGTATTGATGATCCCTTTCACACAGCAAGCCTCTGAGTGCGACCCCCCTCCTCTGATAAATATTTAAAAAAAAAAGTGTTTTTAACTTAACACTATTATAAGTGCTGGAGGCGAAGCAGAATTTGGGGGTAGCGGCTGACAGCTCACAACCCCCCACCTTATAACCTCAAACCCCCCTGAGGGGTCATGACCCCCAGTTCGAGAACCTCTGACAGAGGCTACACAAGGACAGGCAACTTTCCCACCCAAACTACGAGGGAATGAGCTTCTTTGTGTAGAAGAGCGCTGTCTGTTAATGTGTGGATCAGCTGTTGTGTTTTGTAATCAGTGTTATGGCTTTCTAAATACTGGTACAGGTCTTGTTAGAAGTTAGCTCCCAGCCATGTAGGCTGCCATCTGTGGTCTCCACTGTCAATACTAGATTGGAGCTCGCCTGCCCTTGCAAGAACCTGTTCTTGGCTGACCAACTCTCAACTAAGATACCACGATGCACCAAGTGATGAACAGTTACAAGGGTGTCCTGAAGGCTCTCTCTTTTAAAGGAGCACAGATCAATAGTTATCTGAGAAAGGACAGACATGTATATACCATTTTTATGTCCAGGCAGGTATCAATACACTGGAAAATTTCTGAACAGACTTAAAGGGAGGTAGCAATATGAGTGGGTTGAGCCCTGCAAATCTCAAGCATTTTCTGTCGGAGGCCCTGATTGGAATATGTAAATATGCCTTCTTCAGAGATTGCAAGGAGAGTGGGTTCTGGGTTTACATATGGAATGTCTACTTAAAACACTACAGTGGCATAGCAGCAGCACCGCAACTGCACCACTGTAGCACTTCACTGTAGACACGACAGCAATGAGAGGGGTTCTCCCGTCACTGTAGTGACTCCACCTCCTTGAGAGGCAGTAATTAGACAGATGGAAGAATTCTTCCATTGGACTAGCATTGTCCACACCAAGGATTAAATCAGCATAGCTATGTCTCAGGGGTGTAGATTTTTCACATCCTTGAGAGACACAGTAATGTCGATAAAAGTTTTCAGTGTAGACTAGCCCTTTGTCTCTGCAGGTATTGCTTCATGTCTTTGAGGTCCACCACCATCCAGATGCCACTAAACATCCAGTGATTAAGAATAAAATTGAGTAGAGCCTCTTTTTGGAAACTCCTTCTATAGCTCAATTTTAAAAAGATAGGTAACAAACCTGTGCATATCTTGACTCTCTTGGATGTTCCTAGCCATAAGGAAAGACTAAACACGGCTCTAAGATAGAGAGTGCCAGTTCTAGAGAGTAATTGGTTCATTCTCTGAGGTTGCTCTGTCAAAGACATTTGCACCCACCGATCCACAAAGAGAAGTCTCTCCTCAAACTGGCTTTGGGCCTCAGACACTGAGCGTCAAAACTAGGTGTTTGACATCTTCTGGAGGAGGGAGCTGGTTTGAAGTCTCCCCTAACCTCTACCTCACCTATCAGGTTTATTTAATCTTTCTTGAGAACTGCCACACTGTCTATGGTACCTGGAAAAGAACAGGCTCTAGAGGAACAGACTGTTCTTTTGGAATGTCCTGTATTCTCTTGTCTGTTTAAAGGGAGGCAAGATTTCTTGGCCCTTTTTTTGATGCATCTGCCACTGCCTTAGCCAAGTGTTCACCAAACATCTGCCAGGTATTACGATGTTGCAAGCTCACTGGATTCAAGAACGGTTTTCCAAGACCAATGCCTTCCCACAATGGCACTTGAAGCCAGAGCTCAAGCTGAGAACAAGAGTACCATAGGGTTCTGTTCTGTTCAATGTGTACATGAAGCTACTAGAAGATACTATGAGTATATCTGGGCTGCAATGCCATAAGTATGGAGAGTTATGAAGGTATTTCTAACATGCTCATCTCTTTTGTAGCAAAGAGCCACATGAACAGCCAGGGAAAGCAAACATTTGTTCCAACACATCATATGTTTCATCCTTCCTTTGTTGAGTTCCATGTTTAAGTGAGATTGTTCTGGTCTGTCTACAGGGCAAACATTGCCAAGCCATTCTAAGACCACATTTTTGGAGGGGAGGCTTGTACAGAGAAGTATTTTACACTGAACACAAGGCTCAGCCTGATTTCTGGTGGTAGGAAAGTCTGGTAGATGACCTTCTACAGGCCCTTGCAAGTTTCATCCTGAAGTCAGTTGGCTGCAACATCTGCCCTGAGTGGGTATCAGAGAGAGATCATCTCTGAGATTGCTAGATCCTAAACCATCACATATAAGAGCCGAGACCTTCAGGAAGATCTGGAATTGGATGGGGATCCAGTGCCGCATGCACAGCAACATGCTCTTTTCAGCAGTTCTGTTCAAGTTTGGTGCTGCATAATGAACGAGGTAGAGCTTCCACATGGCTCCTATGTGGCCTTCATTACTGGCAGAACCCATTGTGGTCATCCAGCCTGGAGGCAATGAAGACACAGATCACTGTGATTAGGTCTGCATCACAAAGAATCACTCTTCTGGCCTGCTGAGGAGTCAGTAAGAGCTGCATATCAACTTAAATGGCAGATGATCTGAAAGAGCAAAGACCTGGTTCCATCCAATTCTTCAAAGCACCTCCCCTCCCCCTTCCTACAAGCATCGCATTTATCCTTCCCAGACCAAGGATGAACCAACACTTTCACTCAAGCACCAAGTCAATTGGCAAAGGACATAATTCATTTCTGATGCACAGCGTTGTCATGAACTGTTACTACTGAAGCCCATATCATCCTCTAATATCTTCTAGTAATTCAATATACATGCTGAAAGATAGACACAGGTCTGAATACTGCAAGATTCCACAGATGAGAGCGCTCAGGGAAGACTAGAAACCAACCACCATAACCCTGTCGGATAGGTCCACAAGAAATGACACTTAGCCAATTCAGTGTGACTCCACCCATCCTGCCAGGTCACCCCGACAAGGCTGTAATACAGAGAGGCAGTGTCAAAAGTTGCTGGTAAGTCTTAAAATATTAAGATGGATGTCTGCCTTCTGTCCAAGACCAAAAGACGAACATGTGTTAACCTTCAGGACACACTGTAAGACCCAAATTGTCTCCCTGGCCCACAGGAAGTTGAGGGAAAGGCTGAGGCTGGCACTTCAGAGGTAGTTATGCTGATAGGTTGCTGCTGTAACTGTGTTCTCACTAAATCAACTGCTGAGTCTGCTATTAACTGTATAGTTTGCCAAGAGTACCCAGAACCTGGGATAGATGCCCTTATGTAGTTAGTACAAACCTCAATTAATCAAATAAATGACTGAGAAACTTTTAAGTTATTGATATATCAGATGCTCCTGGAATCTTTTTTGCCCCACTTTCTTAATAACCTTACTCAAAGAAGGGAAGACAGACAGGGCTTTGATTGGTAAGATCTTCTGCAACCCATGTTAAACTATTGCAAATTTTATGGCAGCCAATACCATTCTGGGATAAGGTATTCATATGCTTCGGATCAGCAGATGATCTAGGTGGGTGTCACTAATCATGAGAGTAAAGGATTCATTTATCTGGTGGCATGGACTTCCCATAGTTCTTAGAGGTGCAGTAGTGATGTGCCTGAGTCAAACTTGTGAAAGAGGGTCTTCAGAATCCATCTGCTTGGTCCTGGAAAAGCTTCCTGAGTTTAGCCAGACTTTTCTGCAAAGCAGGCAGAGAACTCCTCAGCAGGACATATTTGGGTCCAAGACAGACTGAAGGAAGTCTGGTTTAATTATTCTCATCACCGTTTCGCTGATTCCATGGCAGAGGCAAAGGTGGCTCTTAGTCTCCCTTGCAGATGTGACATGGATTTGTATAGACTCCGTGTGACAATCAGTTTCAATTTCTGTCTTGTGCCACTGCTGATTTAATTGTCTGACCTAAGTTTTTATACCACATGCATCACTCATTGCGCCCACCAAAACCATAGGGATGTGACACTGGCAGAATACTTGTAAGGATTAAAGTTATTTTTCCTCAGCCTGACACTGCAAATACAACTTCCTGTCACTTACTTGAATCCATTCCTGCTCCATCATCCAAAAAACATAGCATGAAGCCACCTCTCAGGTCCTCTCGTCTTTCTACAACAAGAGAAGAATTAACAGAACCATTACACTCAAATAGGAAGGGGAATTAAAAATTATTTGAAAGCGTCCAAACAGTTTTCATGACTGGAGTAGTACAGCAAGCAGGACTCAAACTTCAAGCTGACTTTTGTGTGGTACAACTACAAAATGGTTAGTCACCATCAATAACATCTCTTAGTAGAGAAAAACAGGAGCAGATGACATTGTGGGTGTTTTTATTACAGAAAAATTATTACTCTCTTTCATCAGGAAAGAAAGGTAGTCTAAGCTCACATGCTAAATCAAGGCAAGTAGAGGAAGCTTACATCTTAAATTTCTGAGAAGTAAATAATCAAGCTGTGTATAATTGTGGTCACCTATGTTCCAAAATGAGAAACTGAAACAGGTGCAAAGAAGAGCTACTAGGATGATCAGGGGAATGAAGGGCCCAGAGCTTGGATTGTTTAGTAAAGCTAACAGAAGGCTGCAGGGGGTTTTCTGCTCTCTGTAAATACATTAGGGGGATAAATACCAGGAAGGGTGAATAGCTACTTAAGCTAAATGACAACGTAGGCAGAAGAACAAATGGATATAAACTGGCCATGAACAAATCCAGGCTGGAAATTAGAAGTAGGTATCTAACCATCAGAGGGATGAGGTTCTGGAACAGTCTCCAAACAGAAATTGTGGGGGCAAACAACATTAAGAGATGAGACCTTGAAATGAGCTGGAAATGAGACCTTGGGAGAGGCCCTGGGCTCAAAGGTGACACTGCGCATTCTCTCAGGTGCTTGACTGGCTGGTTCTTGCCCACATGCTCAGGGTCTAACTGATCACCATATGTGGGGTCAGGAGGGAATTCTACCCTACGTCAGAGCTGGCAGTGAGCTTGGAGGTTATTCACTTTCCTCTGCAGCATGTGGGTGCAGGTCACTTGCCAGGATTATCTGGGTTTATCTCAAGGAATCATTTCCCTGCCAGTGCAGAGGGCTCTGGCACTGGTACATCTTGGTCCCTCATATTCTCTGCCTATATCACATAATACTCTGGTCTCCTGTGGGTTGTAATACTTTGGTCTCATTTCAGTTGTTGGGTTAGTGGGCGGGTGCTGGGTGGTCTTGGTACCCAGTGCTACATGAGGTCAGACTGGATGATCTATTGGTCCCTTCTGGCCTTAAATTCTATAAGATTCCCTTACTCTGGTACAGGATTCTAGTAGATGCATTGTCTTTAGATGGGTCTTGAATTGAAAGGCTCCCCTCACCACCCTCCTACAGCTCTCCTTCTGAATGATTTTTTTATATTAGAAATGTAATAGATTTGAGGGCATTACTAATGGGACACTTGACCTTAGGGAGTGCATCCAGTACCATTTTATCTACTTGTAAATCCGTAATTTGATGGGTGTATTTTGCAGTCCTCCTGACATTGCTGGCATCGAAGGAAAGACAAGTCTGACTTACCTATATAAATATCTATTCTCGTGGCATCAGCATCTCTACAAAGTAACAAAAACACAATCAGCGTCCAAAGAGCGAATGAAGGTGAAACACTCTAGGAGCCCGAGAGGATTCTGCATGTATGAGTGGGAATTTCAACAGGAGCGATCATTATGGATCAAAAACTGTGTAATTCTCTAAGTATGCAGTGTTGTTGTAGCCGCATCAGTCCCAAGACATTAGAGAGAAAAAGCAAGTTAGGTAGTATCTTTTATTGGACCAAATTCTGTTGGTGAGAGACGAGCTTACACAAAGCTTTTCTTCAAGAGCTGTGTGTAAGCTCGAAAGCTTGTCTCTCAACAAAAATTGATCCAATAAAAGATATTACCTCACACACCATGTCTCTCTAAGGCTAAGCATCAGCACCCCTAAAAGAAATCGAAGAGACTTTGGTGTACCATTGCATTTTTGGCCTTCCCTTGTTCAGATCCAAACTCCACCACAAGACACTGATGCTGCATACTAATTAAACCTGGTTACAATGCAAATACCTATTCTGTAACAGACACTCATTTCATGAGAGAAACAAGTACATGAAGAAAAAAAAAATCTTTGTATATCATAATGGAATAAGCCTGCAACTTCAAGATTCTTTCAGCTTTTGAAAGACATCACTTACCTTCTACTCAAGCAAGAGTTCTTCAGAGTCTGTGCTCCCCTTCATGTCTGGAACCCCCCTCCCTATCCCAATGCACCAGATGCCCTTCCTATTCTTCAAACTGCCATAAAATTCACTTTTACAAAGCACAAGAATGCAAAACCACATCAAAAGGCTAAGGAAAAAAAGGATGTAAAATTGATCCTTCTTGGTCTCCCAACACACTTCGTGTTTTCTAGCTGTTTACACTATCAGTTTTTCAAGATGGGACCCTGTCCTCCTCTTGGGCAGGGCCTGTATCTTATGTAGGACACAGGTGCACCATCACCATTCAGCTATAAGCTTCTGCATTACATCTTTCTTCTTAAGATCTACTGGTAGTGAAGGTCACTCAGCTGCTTACCCTAAATATGTAGGCTAGATAAACCACAGCAACTTAATTAGCTCCCAATACAAACACAATCTCAAATACATACCTGGCATTATCTACAAGCTCAGCAAGGGCACCAAACAAGAACTCATGAGTGGTTCTGAAATGTCAAACACTGAGAGTCAGGAAGGTTACTGCAATATTGAAGGAGACTATATCTCTCAATTTAATATGTATGTCAAACTAATTTTTATCAAGTTTCTAACTAATTTGTAACATACTTCCTCGCCAATCAATGTAGCAAAACTAGAAATTAGTGGTGCACTATTCATAGAATCATAGAAGATTAGGGTTGGAAGAGACCTCAGGAGGTCATCTAGTACTGTCAAAAACAGGGGACAAATAAAACAGCTACTGATTAAATAATATCAAGTTTAGATTTTCTTGATTCAAACTGTGATCTTTGTGTAGTGGCATTAAGAGTATTAGCTAAGGGGAAAATTATATTCCAGTTCCCCTTATTACGAGGTGTCAAAACAGTGAATCACTGACTGGCACTCTTCTAGCAAGAAGTAATCAATACATGTGAATCCTTGATTACTTACTATACTGACTGGTTCTTTTAAATTAACTAATTAAATCATTTTAACTAATAAAAGATGCCCTGGCAATGACTACACTGCACAGGATTGGAGGTTTCTTTTCCTTAAAAGCATCTCTTCAAATTCCAAGATTTAAATTTCTGATAAATATGAACTTGGTATGCATTCATATGCTTACTACTGTTGCACAAATCAGGTGATATTTGCCAGAGAAATCAGTAGCTGCAGCTGTTGCTAATCCAGAAAAAGATGCTCATGAGCCAGCATGGTATGTTTAATCGTATGATCTTAGGAATTCAATGTCAAAATTTCTCTGACTGAATCCCAGTTCACTATAATCCTGAAGAATATTTGAGTCCAAAGTTCTTAATTGTCATAATTCGTAATAGGTGACCAATCCAAAATTGTAACATTCCACGTGGTTGCTCTGCGGTACTCTTTTCCAGCAAAACCTTTTACTGGCTCTTGTTCCGTTTTCTTTAAAACCTTCGTTTCTTTTTTTGTCAAAGACCAATAGATGTAAAATTTCTGCTGTACATCCAACATGGTGTTGCATCTTCAAAAGCTAATCGGTTTTCAAATGCAGACTAGCTATGACCCTGTGATAACTTCAGCTAAACTATGGGAAATGCAGAAACTGGATGAATGGTGTTCCTTCCCAGGTTAAATTAAATGACCAGTATAGATTGGGCCACATCTAGAGCTAAAAATGCATGTTTATTGACTCTGAACTTTACAAGAACATTAAGTAGGGCTGTCAAGTGATTAAATTATATTCGATTATTGTTTAACAGTGTGATTAATTGTGATTAATTTTTTTAAATATTTTGGATGCTTTCTACATTTTCAAATATCTTGATTTCAGTTATAACAGAATACAAAGTGTACAGTGCTCACTTTATATTTATTTTTTATTACAAATATTTGCACTGTAAAAAAGAAATAGTATTTTTAAATTCACCTCATACAAGTACTGTAGTGCAATCTCTATCATGAAAGTCGAATTTACAAATGTAGAATTATGTACAAAAATAACTGCACTCAAAACAATGTAAAACTTCAGAGCCTACAAGTCCACTCAGTCCTATTTCCTTGTTCAGCCAAACGCTCAGAAAAGTTTGTTTACATTTGCAAGAGATAATGCTGCCCGCTTCTTGTTCACGTCACCTGAAAGTGAGAACAGATGTTCACATGGCACTCTTAGTAGCCAGCTTCGCAAGATATTTACATGACAAGTGCTCTAAAGATTCATATATCCCTTCATGCTTCAACCACCATTCCAGAGGACATGCGTCCATGCGGACAACAGGTTCTCCTCGATAACAATCCAAAGCAGTGTGGAGCAACACAAGTTCATTTTCATCATCTGAGTCAGATGCCACCAACAGAAGGTTGATTTTCTTTTTTGGTGGTTCGGGTTCTGTAGTTTCTGCATATCGGAGTGTTGCTCTTTTAAACTTCTGAAAGCATGCTCCACACTTCATCCCTCTCAGAGTTTGGAAGGCACCTCAGATTCTTAAACCTTGGATCAAGAGCGGTAGCTATCTTTAGAAATCTCACATTGGTACCTTCTTTGCATTTTGTCAAATCTGGAGCGAAAGCAGTCTTAAATTGAACATGTGCTGACTCATCATCCGAGACTACTAAAATATGAAACATATGGCAGAATGTGGGTAAAATAGAGCCAGAGACATACAATTCTCCACCAACAAGTTCAGTCACAAGTTTAATTAACATTTTTTTTCAAGGAGTGTCATCAGCATGGAAGCATGTCCTCTGGAATAGTGGCCAAAGCATGAAGGGGCATATGAATGTTTAGCATATCTGGGATACAGATACCTTGCACTGCCAGCTACAAAAGTCCCATGCAAATGCCTGTTCTCACTTTCTGGTGACACTGTAAATAATAAGTGGGCAGCATTGTGTGTCTTAGTGATTGACTGAACAAGAAGTAGAACTGAGTGGACTTACAGGCTCTAGAGTTTTGCGTTGTTGTTTTGTTTTTGAGTGCAGCTATGTAACAAAAAAAGTGACATTTGTAAGTTGCACTTTTACGATAAACATATTGCACTACAGTACTTGTATGAGGTGAATTAAAAAATACTATTTGTTTATTTTTACAGTGCAAATATTTGTAATAAAAAAAATACAAAGTGAGTACGTGTTGTAATTGAAATCAACATATTTGAAAAAGTAGAAAAACATCCCAAAATATTTAATACATTTCAATTGGTATTCTATTGTTCAACAGTGCACTTAATCGCAATTAATTTTTTTTTAATCACGATTTTTTTCAGTTAATCACATGAGTCAACTGCGATTAAAACGACAGCCCTAATACTAACACCTAATTATAAAGGTACTTTGTCCAAATGAGCCTGTCAGATATATAACTATGATTAAACTTTCATATCCACTACAAAAATCATTAGAACGGACCTATCATCTGAACTCTGATTAAAATAAAAGTAGTAGTATTCAGGCTGCACCCATAGGTTCAGAAGGATGGGATGTTTCTGGTAAAGTGATCAGCAATGAAGAAGTTGACATTAGCTTTCAGGAATCACTACATTTATACGAATGCAGCCCTTCACATCTTTCAGACACTGTTTCAGTTCACCTGCAGGCTAAGGATGAGAGAGCCCTGTATCAGTTTACATTTCGAAGGTTCTCTTCATAACCAGAAGAGCTAGAAACTTTATTTTCTTTTAGAATGAAAGCTTAAAATTTGCACAGAACACAGGAATACCAGTACCACAATCGCTAAATCCACAGAAAGTGTGGAAATTCCCTCATGCACAGATTTCTAGTACTCCAATCAGTTTAAAGACAATTACAAAAACCCACAAACACAGTCCCACTGAAAATATATCTGGAGAATGTTCCACAGAGTGGATAGTCGCAAGCAAAATGGATGAGTCAGAATTAATACACGTTATACTTCTGTACCTTTGACACTACATCCCAAAACACTTCAAACTAAAACTTAGTGAATCAAATATTTAAGAATATGCTTTGCTGTGTTATTAAAAAAGATAAATATGGATTTAGAAACAAAACGATCACAGGAATGAAAGGGCTGAAAAAACAGATCCATCACACCATAATCTAAGGAGCGACAAAATGATTAACCCTTTTCTAAATAACTTTTTCCCACTGCACTCATCACAGTGGTATCTGAATGCCTATCAACAATATAGTCCCCTCATATCAACTGAGGCAAAGAGACGAAACCTCGCTAAAACTGAGGTGAAATGAAATCCAAAAATATTTATCCCTAGTTAGGGCATATTAACATGTATGTTTCTTTGGAGTATGTATAAAAAAGTTTACTCTCAGAAATGGCATCTTCTCAAAATGATCTTAAAGATCAGAGTCGAATGTTAACTCAAAAACCAAGCCAAGAAGCTGATTTGCATTGTTAATAAGTATCTTCATTCATAGCAACAACACACCTACTTCCTCCATGTCAAAACTACCTGACAAATAAGTACTTAACTTCCATCTATCCTATGCAAGGCCTGACAGTGTAATGGTTCTCTCACAAGATGCTTTCTTGTTGTACAGAAAAAAGCCCATGAGCTGTTTCGGTTGTAAACATGTCAAAAAACATGAATCAAATCTAACTAATGCAGTAATATCTGCCCAAGTTTGCAATAAGAGTCTGAAACAATAGCTCTGAGAGGTGTAAACTCTCCCTTTCATTTCAGTGTATATATTTACTCAGATGTCTCTACTTTAAGTGTCTTCATTATTTGCTATTTCACTGCTCAGTCAAATCACGTAAGAAGAGGAAATATATTGTGAAGATCTACAAAATCTACTCTGAGGCATAGTTCATTTTGACAGCACGAATAGGTGGGCTTGGGAAAGTACTATTACTACAACCTCCCACTCAAAAATGAGCACCACCAAGAGGGAGCCAAGCCCTAAGGAACACAACAATGCCATGGGTGTGATGTATTCAGACCACACTGAACGGAAGCCAAATTCAAGCAACCCGGAAAGCAGGTGTGATTATATTCTAAACATCTGCACAGTCTATTGAGAGCAACATCTGAAGTGAACAGGACTTATTTTGTGAGTGGAGCTTGGAAGGGTAGCCTATCCTACCCAACAACCAATCTGATTCCTGATCCTACAGGTATGTAAAAGCAATGGGCACCTAATTAATACCACAGAATCATGATAAGTCATCTTCTCTGTAGCAAAGGAGGTCCCAGCAATGCACCAAATTCTACTTTGGAAGTTTGGCATCCTGTTAGCAAACAGAGCTGTCTTCTCTTGTTATTACTGTAACAAAACCTTCATCCATTGGCTTATTGTATCCTTCACTTCTAGGCAGAAAATATTTTTAACACGTAAAGAAGCTGCTTTTTTTTTTTTAATTTCTCAAATCTACTGAGCAGCTATCGGAGAAAAAAAATAAAACTTCTGTTCCACTTAAATATACATCTGTCATTCTAACTGTGTCTAACAGGTCAGTTCTAGTTAAAGGGCCAGCTTTCGTTTTAACTTGGCCACAAATATTAACTCTTGACCGCATGCTGTCATTAGAAGATTTATTTCCAAAGATAAATTTAGTGGTACAAATTTTAACAAATTGTAATGCATAGTTGGTTGAAGCAAACACATTCAAGCATACAGAGAGACAAGTTAGCCAGATCCATGTGCATTTTTGTGTTCATCTCTTTTTAAAAAGTTTTCAAGCATTTTAAAATATAATTTTGTACCAGGTTACTCAATAGCTTTTAATAGTTTAACTTTTTCTCAAAAAGGAAAAAAGACCAGCTACTTTTAAAGCATCTGTTGTATTAGGGATCCATAATTAAGTGTTAATAATAACCATACTTTAACCTTACATTGAGCTTTTCATGAAAGGATCACAAAGGTCTTTTACATGCCTTAATACAACTCTTAGGTTGTCTATACTAGGAAAATGAGTTATATTTAAATGCTTTAATTAGCAAGCTGTCAAACACACCAGATAATGTCTAAAAACAAGTTCGTTCGTTAGCCATGACCCCTAAGGTTGATCTTTAGTGTCATGACTAATGGCGACCAGCTAACCCTTTTAAAAAACACGAATCTACCTGAACTGGTAAATAGTGTTTAGCAACGTGCTAACTAAAACATACTAGTTCATGCCGGGTTGAGGTTTTTTTTAAAACCACAACTCACTTTCCCAGTAGACAAAACCTAAGAAGTAAACAGCTATAATCAGGAACTATGTATTTTTCAGTTCCGCAGCCAGAGATTGTGCTTCAAAACGTAATCTGTCATTTAAAAAGTTTCTAGCTCTCATGACTGTGAAAACAGCCATGAAAACATGACAGTGTCTTCCTTAATCTGCAATTGCCTGAGACTATGGTTCTGAAAGATGAATACTTCACTCATCTCAGAGTTAATTCTGAAACAGATTAAAATTTAAAATGTCACTTCTTAATTTTACTATTGATCATTTGAAGAGAAACAACCAACTAAGGTACTTATTCCACAATCTCAAAATGCTTCTCATCACTTGTTGGATGTCAAAAGCCCTAGTTGTGCCTCACCTATTTTCCAAAACCTCCATCTTCCCTCCAAACAACTTCTATCGTGCAATTATGCGATGCAAAATCCATGAAGAACTGAAACTGTGATGACAACATAAAATTACTTTAATATAAAAATAAACATGCATCACTATAATGACTGTACTAGTTAATCTCATTTATTAGAAATCTACATTTTGTAGCTGAAATGCAGATGCTGCAGACTTTCCAATCTGCCATACTGGAGCACTGCAGAATCTTGGGACCTCAAAGCACAATTTAGATCCAGTTTGCCATGGAGTAGGATATTTAAGACTTGAGCCATAGAGGTAGAGCGACTTGACATCATGGTCACTTGGTCAGTCAATGACAGCACCAGGAACTGAACTCAGGAGTCTCAACTCCCGGTCTTCATACACCAACCAGAAGACCTAACACAACATTTAAAGTAACTGTACCAGTTATAGGGCAAAGCAATGACTGGAACCACAGCACCATTGTCCCTCAAATGACATAGTGGCACTATCTTCTCCTGTGCCCAAGAGGTATAACTGCTATTTTTTTCAATCCATGGGTTGGAAATAATTACCGTTTGCCAAGAGCAATCATTATAGAGACTCAAAACTTTGCCAAGTAATCCATCTCTCTTCTATATCTAGTACTATTAATAAAAAACTTCACAATTTAATTTAGAACTAAACTTAAGGTAAAAGTCAGTCAAGGTTCTGTGCTCTGGCTCTATCCGTAGACGTCTAAAGGAGCCAGATGATGCCATAGCATACCATTGAGGCTCCCTCACTCCCATTTTGCCTCAGTATTTGAAAAAAGGTAACAGATGAGACAAACCATCAAAACCTACGTTTGCACTATATTTCTCCTATTAACACAAGCAGACATAGCCAATTCTTCTACTTGTTCCCCCTTCTACAAAGCAGCCATAAAGACAAAGAGGTATGGTTCCTCCAATGGCCAACTGACCAAAATGCAGAGAATCCATCACTAGTTTGTATTGTTATGCCCAAACATATTACTGTAAGGATAACAAAACCTCGTGCTTTATGGAATTCCCTCCCTCCTAGACAGCATTACACAGCTGATTACTTGCAATCTGCAGATTTCTGACAGGTGTCAATATACCAAATCTGATTTTCCTAAAATACCAATGTCACTTTGACTCCAGGAGCAACACTGCGTATGTTCTAGACAAGTGGTTCTCAAAGCCGGTCCACTGCTTGTTCAGGGAAAGCCCCTGGTGGGCCGGACTGGTTTGTTTACCTGCCACATTAGTAGGTTCGGCTGATCGCAGCTCCCACTTGCTGCTGTTTGCTGCTCCAGGCCAATGGGGGCTGCAGGAACGGCGGCCAGCACGTCCCTTGGCCCATCCCGTGGCCCGTGCCAGTGGGAGCCGCGATTAGCCGAACCTGCAGATGCGGCAAGTAAACAAACCGGTCCAGCCCGCCAACAGCTTTCCCTGAACAAGTGGCAGACCGGCTTTGAGAACCAGTTCTAGACCAGTGGTTCTCAACATGCAGCCCGCGGGCCACTTGTGGCCCAATCAGCACAGAGCTGCGACCCATGTGACATCCTCAGGGCCACTGAGGTAGTATTTGGTTGCAGCACACAATGGTAAACAGGTTGAGAACCACTGTTCTGACACTTAGATGAAAATAGCCAAACTCAAAATAGCTGAATCAGCTCTATCAGAACATTTTCCTTTTTGTGGACTTCCAATACACTGTACCAAAACACAACAATCTCTGAAAGCCAATTGGGGGCAGAAAGGAAACTTAGCATATTCAAAAATACAACTGAATAAAACATGCAAGTGTTAACCAAACAAAACGTTCTAAAGGAAAAACTGCCATTATCAAGAAAGAGGCAACAAGAGAATGACTTCTCATATTCAAATTACTCTACACAAAAGCACATTCTATAAACTCTAGGAAGTCCACTTTTTTCCAATCTCTCTCCACGTATTACACTTTCCAACAGCTATCCTACAATATCAGATATTTAGGTAAAGTGCTTATATTTTTCTAAAACAATGCACACATGAGCAGATACACAAAAAGAGTCCCTTTGTTAATAAATGCTCCAGTGAGAGTATGCATATTGTATTTAAAGCAGGGGCCTAGGTGTTAAGGCTCTTGGATTCTATTCCCAGTTTTGCTACTGACGTATGATCTCAGACATGTCATGTCATCTCTCGGTCTGCTCATCTTTACAATGGGTATAATACCTACCTACCTCTTAGAGGTGTTGTAATACTTAATATTGGTAAGTGCTTTGTGATCCTTGAGTGAAAGGCACAATGCATGTGCAAAAATTATTGCACGTCTTCCTTACCCTGTGATCTACAGATCCTTCAGGGAAAAGACAAATATCAGTTTCCTCAGCAGACAAGTTATTTTTGGGAGAAAACCAAACACAAAGAACATCCTTCTTGCAAACTGCCTTCAACTGTTTGGTTTCCTTTCCTGAAGACACCTTTATAGGATTCTGCCTTTCTGTTGCTGTTAAGATTCTTTGATCAAGAAGAGTAACCGGCAGCAGCATAAATATTTCATTCCTTAAGATCCATCGTCGAGTTCCATCTGGTTTTGATATAAATGGCTCCAGCTGACTTGAATTATACTGAAGATACAAATCATGCTTATGTAGCTGAAGCCTGTGTTCAAACACTGTAGAGTAGCCTGGAGACAGGAAGACTCTGGGGACCCTTTCTGGATTAGCAAGGCAATTTGGCATCGGTTCTTTGTAAAATGAGTGTCCAAAGTTCAAGACTGGCCGCGAGTGGCTGTGGGTGGGCCGCCACAGGGCAACCGAGAGGCGAAAAGAAACCTCCAGGCCCAAGCTGGTCAATGGTAGGAAGGGCTCTGCACTCGCCAGGATACTCACGAGTTGGTATGCAGGTACTCGAAGGTCAGCTGGGCCCGGTTCAGGCTGCTATAATTGGTAAAAGCCATGGCTGGCCCGGGCTGCCCGACAGCCCCTGCCCCAGATCCCCACCTCAGGCGGGCACAGCGCAGCGCCCAGCGGGCTCTTCCGGGCCCCCAACCCGCTGGCACGGCCTCCCAGCCAGGGCCGAGCTGCGGGGCTTCCCTGCGCCGGCCGCCGCGGCGAGGCCCCACTCCCACTCCCCGATCAACGCACCTCGGCGGGAACCTCGAGGCCTCCGCGCCCGCCCCTCCCCCGCCGCCCGTCACGGCCCGTCGCAGGGGGCGCCACCTGCCCCGGGCGGAGCCGCCATGCGGGGAGGGTCCACCCACGCCAACGCCGCTGCGGACCCCGAGCCCGCGCCTCGCCGCCGCTTGGGGCCAACGCCCCGGCAGGCCCCCCCTGCGCCCCGCCGCCGCGTAGGAGCCCCGCTCCCGCTCCCGCTCGCCGCCCCCGGCAGCACGTGCCGGAGTCCCCCGCTGCCCCTCCCCGCGGCCTCCGCCTGCTCCTCGCCGAGCGGGCCAGGCCCTGCTGCCACCGCCGCCGGTCCCGCTTTGTCTGCTCTGGGCTCGCTCGCGCGCGCCGCGCTCGCAGGCTGCGCCCGCACTGGCCCCGCCTCCCCCTTGGGAGGGGCCTCGCCGCTCGGCAATGATTGGCCGGGCCCGGAAGCACGTGACAGGTGAGGCATGGCGCCAGCCGCAACGGCTTCGCTCACGTCACGTGACGAACCCGTCCTTTCGAGACAGCGCGGCGGCTGGCCTGGCCGCCTGGCGCGCGCACGGGGCTGTGGGGCGTAGCAGCGGCAGCGGAGCCTCTGCTTGGGGGGACACCTGCTCCCGCACTCTGATTGGCTGGGATCAAGCGCCAGCCACCGCAGGTGCCCCCCCCCGCCCGTATACCGTCCGCCCCAGCGCGTGCCCCTGCAACCCTCGTGTGTCTGGCTGCGCGCTGCTGCCCCTCCCCCTCCCTGTGTGTCTGGCTGCCCCCGCCATCTCCCCCCCGCCGCGTGTCTGGCTGCCCCCCCCCACCCCGCCGCGTGTCTGGCTGCCCCCCCACCCCCCCCCCCCCGCGTGTCTGGCTGCCCCCCCACCCCCGCCCCCCCGCGTGTCTGGCTGCCCCCCCCCCACCCCGCCGCGTGTCTGGCTGCCCCCCCCCACACCCCGCGTGTCTGGCGCCCCCGCCATCTCCCCCCGCCGCCGCGTGTCTGGCTGCCCCCGCCATCTCCCCCCGCCGCCGCGTGTCTGGCTGCCCCCCCCCCACCCCGCCGCGTGTCTGGCTGCCCCCACCACCTCCCCCCGCCGCGTGTCTGGCTGCCCCCCACCCCCGCCCCCGTGCTGGCTGCCCCCCCCCCCGCGTGTCTGGCTGCCCCCGCCATCTCCCCCCGCCGCCGCGTGTCTGGCTGCCCCCACCCCGCCACGTGTCTGGCTGCCCCCCCGCGTGTCTGGCTGCCAGCTGCTGCCCCTGCAACACCCTCTCTGCATCTGCCTCCAAAGTCTGTTGCCCCTACAACCTCCCATGACGTGGCTGGCTGTATGCTGGTATCCTGCAACACCCCCCCCCCCCCCCATACACACACACATGCGTGGCTACTCGCTGCTGCCCTTGCAACTTCCCTCCCCCCCCCCACGCTTGGCAATATGCTGGTGCCCCTACACACACACACACCCCCATGTGCCTTGCTGTGTGTTGCTGCCTCTGCAAATGCCTCCCACCCCTGGTGCTATGCTGCCACCCTCACTGTAGTAATTTCTGCAGGCTACAATGTGCAAACTTGATCCTAAAAACAGTAAAAAGAACAGGAGGACTTGTAAAAAGAAAAGGAGTACTTGTGGCACCTTAGAGACTAACCAATTTATTTGAGCATGAGCTTTCGTGAGCTACAGCTCACTTCATCAGATGTTTACCGTGGAAACTTGTGGCACCTTAGAGACTAACCAATTTATTCGGGCATAAGCTTTCGTGACCTACAGCTCACTTCATCGGCTGCAGTGTCTCTTCTCTATATGGCTCTTACCCACTGTTGAAGTCCAGGACAAAGCTACCATGGATCTAATGGCAAAAGTTTTGGGCCTTATCGCTTAATGAATCTACTGCCTTAAAAACAGATTTTAACAGCCATTCAAATAGGAGAGAGATGCCAAAGGACAGAAAAGAGCTTGGTCCAGACTAGTCAAGGAACCAAGTTTTCATTTATTTGTCATCTTTGATGGAAGAGATCAACTTTTGCTACAAAACATTTTCACTTGCATCACCCCCTACCCCATGGCTCCTGTCATTCAGTCTGCAACAAGAAATGAAGAGTTTGGATAATTTAGGAAGTGAAAGATCCCTTTTATTAAAAAAAACTACTGAGAAAGAGATGGTAAGGACATAATTGAAGAAATTAAGCATACATGGACCAGCCCCATGACAGGAATCTGAAGATATTAACACTACTGCCCTACTAATAATTTTTTGAAAAGTGGTAGGAAACTGGAAAGGGACAAGAAGATAAGAGAAAGTCAAACATAATGACCTTTGGCAGGGTTATTCTGGCCGTTATCTTCCTGTAACTGCTTACTTCTAGTAAAATCATAAAAACAATCACTAAACCTTTGGAGAGTAAAGGAACTCTGGCCAGCATAGATGTATGAAGAACAAATTTTGCCAGACAAAGGTGACTCCTTATTGGTACCTGCTCTATAGTTAGGTCTGGAAGGATTCCATTTTTCTGTCAGTAAATGTCAAATTTGCTGTACGTACCAAACTGATGAAAAAATATTTCCACCAATAAATCATATTTTAGGCAAAGTAAGAAGAATGCTGCTTGAGAACTTATTAGCGTTTTATGTAAGGAGGTTTACTTTGTATATTTTGATGTGATGTTTAGTTGACAATTTGTGTTTTAATGGTTATAAAGCTTTACCTTTTTGAATCTCAGTGTCTGCTGTTAAATAATTGTCTGATCGCCCATCATTTCTCACAACTGAAGATTTAAAAATTAAAAATGCTTAAAGCCCATAATTTTGTGCAACTGTGAAAATTTAAATTGATAAAAATTTGAAAAAAGCTTAAAAATAAACATCCATCAAAATTGTAAAAAAAAAAAAATTGAATTCTGCCAAGCCTAACTATAGTTAATATTGTCACAGAGTTCAGTTTTCAAAGTTTTGTAAATATCTCACCAAAAGGGCAAAAAGCAAATTATACCATATGTTGAGCACTATTTGAGTTTTTCATGGTGGTTTGATAAAAAAAATAAACGGATCCCAAGACAAATAATAAGTTTTTGAAAGGAGAGGCTACTAACCTGGTGCAGTAACTGGAGTTCTTTGAGTTATGTGGCTCTCTGGGTGCCCCACTTCAATTGCGCATGCACCCCATGTACCTTTGTTCGGAGATTTTCAGTAGCAATGCCTTTTTGGCCCACGTCTGTACTCCAGATATCCTTGTGCCCAGTACAGAATATATATATATATATATACCGGTGCACCAGCAAACCACCATCATTTCCTTCTCTACTTCAAAGTCCCATAGGCCGAAACTCCAAAGCTCAGGGGAATGAGGACTGGTAGTGGAGCACCCATAGGGACCCATAATGTTTCAAAGAACTCCAGTTACCACACAAGATTATTAATTTCTCCTCCTTCAAGAAGTGTTTCTGTGGGTGCTCCACTTTGGGTGACTCCTGAGCAGTATCCCCAGGAGGAGGAGGGAGCTTCAGAGTTGTATCTAACACAGAAGAGAGAACTGAATTGCCAGCCATAGGATCTGATCTGAAAGTATGAATCAAGATATCAAGTTTAGAGAAAGTATGTATTGAGGTCCAAGTTGCAGCTCTGCAAATTTCAACAACTGGAACATCTTTCAATAGTGTCATTGAAGTAGACTGTGACCTTGTAGAATGGGCTAGTACTCTAGAAGGAGGTTGAACATTGGCAGCCTCATAATAAGAGATTTTCAACTAGAGATCGACCTTGAGAGTCTTTGGGTGGAAAAGATCTGGGAAACTTTCTAAAGCATTTGGTTCTATCCACACAAAAGTCTAATGTCCTTCTGACATCCAGGGTATGGCAAGCAGCTTCCTCCCAGGTGTGGGTGTGGCTTGGGGGATGATGAATAACCTGGTTAATATGAAATTCAGAAGATACTTCAGGTAGACATTTAGGATGTGGCTTCAATTAAATTTTTTCCATGAAGAATACTGTAAAGGGAGGATCTGCCATTAAAGCCCGCTTTTCTCCGACTCTCCAGACAGAAATGGTGGCCATCCAGAAAGTCACAGATAGGTGGAAGCAGGGAATACATAGCCAATAGCTCAAAAGGAGGCAATTAAGAACCAAGTTGAAGTTCTATACTGGGGTGGGCTCTTTAATTTGAGGAAAGAAGGTTGTCATTCCCTTGACGAATCTTTCTTGTCGTGGAGTGGGCAAACACTGAGGATCTTTCTACTTGTGAATGAAGAGTGTTGATAGTGGCCAGATGAACCTTGATGGCACTCATGGAAAGACCTGACTTTTTTAATTCCAACATGCAATCAAGAGCAGCAAAGAGAGAGAAATCCCAACAGGCAAAAACTGTTGCCTGACACACTGGTGGTGGAATTGCTTCCATTTTTTAGGGTGTTTTGCATAGATATATTCCTGATGTTTAACTGTACCTGTTACACTTCTGCTGAATACGAAGTCTGTGTCCGTGAGAATCATTGAGGAGCCAACCTCTGAGCTGAAGAATTCTCAGGTTGGGGTGAAGAATCCGACCAGGGTCCTAAGACAGGAGATAGGAAATGGGTGGAAGTCTTAATGGTGGACGAGAAGTAGATGAATCAGGTAAGGATATCATACATGTCTTGACCAAGTTGATACAACGAGAATGACCCTGGCTTTATCTTGTTTGATCTTGTTCAACACTCTGAGGACCAATGATGTCAGTGGATATGCATAAAGAAGACTGTTTAAGGAATGAGGAAGGCATGGACTGGCAATCCAGCCCTCTTCTCAGGTAGAATTTCCTTCATTTCCTATTGATGGTGGTGGCAAAGAGATTAATTTCTGGAAGCTCCCAGGTCAGGAAAATAGGTTTGAGAATTCAAGGGTCCAGCTTCCACATATAATCCTGGGAGAAGCATCTGCTTACATCATTAGCTATGGTGATTTGTACGCCTGGAAGGTAAGAAACTGAGATGAGGATGTAACTGGCTGTACACCAGTTCCATAGTTGTATTCCTTCAGTACAAATGGAGGAGGATCTTGCCTGCCCCCTCGCCATCAAATGATTTATGTAGAACATGCAGGCTATATTTTCTGTCATGACTTTGACAAATTTTCCTCTGATTAATGGAAGAAAGATATATATATATAGGTTTATGTGTTCCTGACTGCTCTTAGTTTCAGGGGGTTGGTAC